GGTGGCCTCCACCCAGAGACTTCATAACGTAAGGGAGGAACAGGAAACAAGAGGCAGAGATGGCCAACATGAGGAGGAGAACAAGGGAGCAAGGAGTGCAGACCAGTAGAGCCGTCAGGGCAAGTCATTATTTCATGCTCCCCCATCCCACAGTAAAAGGCTAAATTCTTTCTAGTTCACAAGGCAGGACAAGGGTGAAGCCATCATTGCCTGGGATTGGCTCCGATGCTGGGATAAGCAGATGTGCCACATCAATAGCTGCATGGGGCCGCTGGTTCCTACACGCTTAACTCGACCTCAGATAACTTCAGGCTCTGATTCTGCAAAAACATACCCACCACATCCCCTACTCCTTGATCACTTCCTTGATCACTGAAGTCATGATCACAGGTGTTCCTAGGATCAGTGCCTGGACTATCAAATCTTCAAGGCAAAGATTGGCCTCTTTAGAGGCTGAAGGTAATGAGATATCTTCCACTGACTCCAGGGAGAGTTGGCTTGGGCTCATTACTGATGCCAGCACCGTTTTAGCTCCTGTATTTATAAGGATGTTTGGGGCGAGGTGGCAGAACTGTTAAGGGATCTTGCTCTAGCACCAGAGATGTGAGTTTGAACCCTGTTCCAGATTGATGCCAGAGGCCACCAACTCCACTGTAAAAGGATATCTTGTCATACAAGCAGGGCGGTCAAAGACCGGTGTGGTGCTAGACCTGTCTCTCCCTTGGTGCTGGTGGCTACAGAAACTGGATTGCCATAACCTAAAAACCAGTGGATGTTTGATTATGATGACAGCTCTCCAGCCTGGGTCCATCCAGACCCCCCCCAATTTCCAAGTGTTTGCCTAACTTTGTACAGAGGAAGACGGAAGAGGATGCCGGCGGCCAGAACCTTTGGAAGCTCTCCAGCCACCTGCTGTAACAGGCTGGTCGTTTTACCACGAGCCTGGCCCCATATTTCACACTTGCTAATTTGCAAATTCAGATACTTTATTCTTCTGTTATCTTTGTGCAAAAAAAGTGGCAAATTTATGTTGCAAAAATACTGCAAGAACATAAAGATTCACATGCAATTAGATTTTATTAGCCTTGTTTATGCTCCCAAAGAATTGTTCATTTTAAAACTTTATAGTCAATATGTAGAAAGATAAAACTCTGGGCTGACTCGTTCTGATGACAGAAGTCAAGGGGTCCAATGTATGGGAGGATTCATTAAGAAGGGGACCAACATTTAGGGCATTCAGGCTATTGGATCAGATTCCTCACTGATGAAAATTGACTTCAACGGAGTTGTGCCAGCTTTACACCAACAGAACATTTGGCCCAAGATTAATATTATTCTGGCATCCATCACACTGGCACCCCACTTGGTCTAACTTCATTGCAGTTAATGTAGGGAGAGAAATTCAAACCCAGTACAAGTGTGAATAGTGTCAGGCCCGTTAGGATGTCAGCTTTTGTTTTATCAGTGCAGATTTGGGGCCTGATCCTGGAGCCCTATGCACTCTCAGCTGCCACTAAGCAGCCGTGCAAAACCAATAAAGGCTTCCTTGAAGTAGCCTTCATCACAGCTCATGCTAAATGATTACGGGCTTAAAACCCCCAAGTCAGCCACTGGACAAACTGAGACGCGGCGTTTCCTGGAAGCCCCTCTGAAGACAATTAGTGTTGTGTAGCAGTGCGGCGCTCTGCCATCAGAATCACCCCCAAGAAAGCCTGAGCTTGGTTCAACAACCATGAGGTCTGAAAAAGGACCATCCGTTACTGTTGGTGTCCGAGGCATGTAGGGACACCAGTCCTATTTGTCTGCTTTCATTAAAGAAGTATCGTAGTGCTCACTGCTGCAGAAAGCAGCAAAGACACTCCCGCAAGGCCGTACCCCTGAGAATGGAGGCTTTCGGAAAAATACCTAACTCTTGCAAGATAAAAAAAAAAAAATCATTATGGGGAGAGGCCCCAAGGACTAGAGCCGTGGGACACCGGCATTTAAAGGGGCAACACAAACACAGCCCGAACTCTGCCCTTTTTGGCATCCCAGCACCTTGTTGTATCGCCCTTTTGTGGAGTAGGGGCTATTAGCACGAACAGAAGGTGGGTCATTAGTTGCAGCCTTTCTAAATCATTTGCTGCCCTGATGCATTTGTGACGCTACAGGTGAAAAATATTGATATTTCACTGAGTCCAGACACAACAGCTCCCCATCACGCTGCAGAGGCAGAGGAAGACCCTTGTGCGACTGATGAACAAGAGATCTGACTTGGAGTGGTGGAGGGCACAGGCAACTGGAAAGGACTCTTCGCAGCTTGGCTTAGGCCTTAACTCTGTACTAGTTGGTTTTCCCAAGGTCTGGATTTGGCCCCACATCCTAGAAGGATACAATGGCTGCTGGGCACCACTTCTTCCCTGCTTGCCACGGGGGTCATTTGTGGGCACCCCGTTGCCAAAGGAGGGCACGGTGTATTTAAAGCATGCGTCCCTGTGCATGAAAACTCAGCCCTGCACCACGGATGCTGCAATCTCCCAGGAGCGAGAGGAGATGCAGCTACATGCTGCCACCTACTCCTGAGCCAGGGAAGACGGGCTCAGAGCACCTTGCAAGGGTGCACTTGTGTGTCTGCTGTCCGTGCAGCTCAGTCTCCAAGCGTAGTGTTGGTATAAGCCGCATCAAAGGGTTTATGTGGATGGGGGTGAAAATGCCAGTGGAAGATCATCCCCTGGAAGGGGCAGCATGGAAAAGGGACTGGTGCCCAAGTGCGGATTAACACTGACACCTGCTGGAGACTTGCATCTTGCAAACGTCTTCTTCCCTCCGTGCGCGGGGAATTATGGCCAGGGCATTCTCCTGTTTCTCTACTTGGAGGAGGAAGGTGTTAATATATTCCTCACCTGCCACTGTTCCCTCTGGCTGGGGCACCCCCACCCCGCTCCTTAAGGTCAGGTCGGCACATTTTGCAGCAGCAAGAGCAGAGCCTGGCACTCGCTGGCGTTTTGCACCTTCGGGCTGGTGTAAAGCAGCAATGCCACGACCCAGCATAGTGCGAGGTGGTGGAGGAAAGGGCAGGGTTGCTTGTGATCACATCTTGATGGTAACAGTGACTGCCTCAGGCCCTCAGTGTGCCCCCAGATTTGAATCTTTTCACCGACACTTATCTCCGCTAGCAGTCGCAGGGCTCCCAGTACCCCTCCTTGCCCCCAGCTGTGATGGGCCCTGAGAAGCCGGTCACCTTGGCTGTGTCCTCCTTCCAGCCCATTTCCCTTCTCTCCCTTCACATCTACGTGAAGGATCAGGTCAAAATGAGGAGGTTGGGGGTTCCCCATCTGTCTTATGGATGCACCCAAAAGTTGGAGGCTACGGAGGAACTACCCCCACATGCCACCCCAGTCCCCAGCTACCATCTCCTGAGCTAATGCATGGTTAAAGGCTCTGGGGCACTGGAAATCCCTGGTAGCTTTCCAGCCTGGCTGAGCGATTCCTAGCATATCCCATTGCTGAAGTGGACTCCAGAACCTATTTGAGGTGATCCATTGCTAGAGATCACGCTTGCAGCTAGGAACCGAGGGCTGGATCCAGGCCCAAACTTCCCCAACATTCAGGGCTGTGGCAGTCCAAGGCTTTGGTCTGGGTTCATCTCTTTCTGTTGGACTTTGTCTCTGTACTGCCGAGCTGGGGATGTAGCCATGCAATAAGCACAGCCCACACTCCAGACTGTGAAGTTCATTATTCTGTCTCTCAGGGCTGGGTCTGAGTAGATTTTCTAAGCAGGTATTGCATGGTCCTGCAGCTGTTAGGTTCATTATTCTATCCCCAGGCCACCGCGCTGGCTGGCTCAGAGTCTGTCCTGTAAGCAGGACCTGACTTCCCAGGCGATGAGGTTCATTATTTTCTCGTGGTGTCACAGAGACAGGAGCACAGACTGAGACTGCAACTTCCTCCCCTCACGTTTAGGAGCTGGAACCGAGTCATTTTCAGCAATTTCAGGACCGGAAGAAGATTCCTTTGATTGCTTTTTAATCACAGTAATAACAGTAATGGATGCAGTGAGTGGAATTGATGGGGAAGAGCTGAGATGTGCACTGAGATAAGCTCACACATGGGATTTATTGGCTTCTTAAGTGCTGCTACCCTTGATTTTCCTGCGAGCTAGAGTGACCCTCAATGAGGTGTGTGTAAAAACAGCCAGCAGGCATCCGCTGCCTTTGAGATGAAGTGAACCAGGCGTCTTCTGAGAGTTTCTACAGGACATCATTGTCTTGGGATTGGAGATTGTCCTCATAGGAAAAGTCCATCATCCTCAGCAAGGAACTGAAGCCCAGACCCACCAAGGTCTTTAAGTGAAGTCAGTGGGGCTTAGGCACCTAAATACTGTTCCAGTGGGAGCAGCTTTCCCCTGGAGCCCTCTACGTCCTGCCACAGATCCCATGCTGGTGCTAGTGCTGCTACCTGGGTCTCCAGCTACACAGGCAGGCTTTCCTAGGGATGGGCAATGCTTTGGAGAAAAACTCTGCCTGGGAACCAGGGTTATGAAAGATGAGCTACTGTGGGAGACCCACCGTTGGGTAGCACCATGCTGAATGCATCAGCCTTCTGCCTCTGAGCACGACAGACATGGACACAGGCTGTGAGCAGCAAAGTGTCTGCAACTTAGCTCCCGTGCACCTAAACCCCCTACAATCCAGTCTAGTTTTCCTGGAAGGCCACATCCTTCCTTCAGCAGTGCTACCTGCTCGGTGTGGCTGGGATGCAGTCGTGGAGTAGGAGAGACACATTGTGGATGCCACTGGAGGAGATCTGCGGGGTCCTAGAAACGGGTCTTGGAGGGAGGGTGGGGTGGGCCAGAGTGCTGTAGGGCAGGATTTGATGTGGTGGTGGCTTGGGAAATGGGGGCAGGCAGCAGATGTGATCACTCTGCTGTCTACCAAACTCAAGCACCCCCAGGCTGCTTCTCTGACTTTCCTGAGCCCTCCCGTTCCTCCTGAACAACTTACACACACACACACGCCGAAGCAGGAGGAGTCCCATCCCCAGCCCTTGGGCAGACACGGGGCTTTTGCCTTTATTTCTGCAGCACAAGTGGCACCCTGAAAGGACCTTGTTTCCATGGGCCCAGCCTGACAGAACGTGTAGCGAAGGATCTGCTTGCTATGCTGATCGAGGCAGGCAAAATAATACAATGGCTCGTGCAATAGTCACCTCGAAGTCCCCATGCAAATCTCCCCGAGCCCACAAGGGTCAGTCTGACCGAAAGCCCAACCTGGCCCGTGTTGGACCCCAGGCAAACAAGGGCTGCTGGCTGAAATGCAGGGGTAGATCAGGAGGAGCTTCCCTGCAGGCAAGGGCGCTACAGATCAGGCCCCTAGAAGAGAGCGGCAAGGTGGGTTGTCAGCGGGCAATGTCATAGAGTCAGGAATGGGGCATATATAGGCTGGGGGAGCTCAGGGAGGGGGCAGGTGAGGTCCAGTCTTCAGCAAAAATAGCATGAACATCCCTACGACCTGCTGGTGAGGCAGCTGAGGCAATCCTCTTCTCACGTACCCTGTCCTGGCACTCCAGCCAGTGCACCACGGCCCCTTCCCTCTCTGCGTGTTGCTGTACAAATACCATTATCATGTGCTGTTTGCCTGGGCCCGTGGTATCGGCACCTAGGTGTTTCCTACCCCCACGGCCCCTGGATGGAGGAGCTACAAATCAGCCTTTTGTTGGCATCGCTCTCACATGCACACACATGCCTACCTAGGGTTGTTTTCCTCCAAACAGCCACATCCCCAATCCCAGCGCCCTCCAAGCCACACACCCGCCCTGGCCTCTTTATTTAAAACATGCCTAGAAAAGGAGTGGCATATTACCTATTCGGGAGCTGGCATCTTTCAGCCTCCAAAGTTTTGTTGGAGGTTGCAGATTAAAAAGCAGCGCCGTGGCTGGCAGGGGGTTAGCTCCAAAATCATTTTCAGCATATGGGAGGTGCGACCTTTCCCAGCCAGGTGTGGGGGTACAGCTGTGGGTTGGTGGGAAGCGATCCCAAGGGAGACCCAAGCTGAACAAAGCATGAAGAGGAGTCTGCGAGCCCTCGTTTCCTTGCTCAGCAGCTGCTTTTTGTAGTCGGAGAGCCAGGCAACATGCCGCTAGTCCCCACTGCTAGACATTGAAGCTAGTGGGAGCTGAGATCGCTTGGCCCCTTGCAGGCGGCGATGCTCTGTGCCTGGCTACATGGGGCCCCGATGGTCACAGAGCAGCACCGGTCCCATCCCACCGTCCGGGGGGGAATACTTAAGTCATTGGAGCATTAGCCCCGGCTGCTGGCTGGCAGTGCCCATGTGATCATGATCCAGAGGACGGATAAGTCCTGAAAAATTACCCTAAAAGCAACCAAATCATATTAATTCCTGTCCCAGAGAAAAAGAACTGACCCCAGATACACAGGCCAATTTCATCTACGGGGAATAAAAAAAAAGAAAAGAAAAAAAAGTCACCTGCGACATCTAATCAATCTTCCATTAGCAGCATGGATTTTCCTTTTGTTTTTTTTAATTTGAAAAGGTGGATGGAGTGGCTTTAATTTGAAAAGGTGGCAATTCATGGGATAGAGAGCCTCTCTGCTATCAACTGCCAGCTGGCCCAGAGCCATGGGAACTGCAAGCAGCTCCCGAGCAATGGCTCTTTGGTCAGTGGCCGGCAGGAGATGAGTTGCCAGGACCCACCCAAAATTGGCAAGGAGGAGGCTGAAAGGGTGTCAAGGATGGAGCTGGTCCCCTCCACCCCCCAGAGATAGAAACACAGGTCAGAGGGAAGTATCTGTGTAGAGGGACCTGAAGGGAGCTTGCTTTTCCCTGTCCTATTGACTTCAGGCTGCAGGGCTCTCAACTTCACCTCCTACACTAGCATTGAAAACTCACTCAGCATCATTTATGTTCATGCAAAGGCACTGGGGAGAGCAGGAAGCAATGGGCCATGCTAGCATGCAAGGGAACGCGCTCCATGTGCACGCCACCCAAGATCCCTGGCTCCCCGAGAGAAGCAGAGCGGGCAGCGTGGTGGTGCATGGCAGGCAATGCAGAGGCTAGAGCAGAGGAGGGTTTGCCTGGTTATGGGTCTCTGGGGCGGCGGAGCTTTCAAGGGAAACGGGAAATGGCCCTGTGGCAACTAGGATTTGGGAACAGTCCTCGTTTCCCCTCGCGCAGACCGCCCCCTGCCCCCCAGAGATTACAGCAGCAAGGTTAATACAGTAGCAGATACATCCATGAATATCCTCTGTTGATTCGTGGCTCCAGGTGCTTCCAGCTGTTCCCTCGGCCCGCAGGAATCAAGGCGCCTCGTTGGAGGTGACTCCGTTGCCTTTGTTGACGTAAAAGGGGCGGTACTGGGACTGCAAGGGAGGATTTGGGGCATGTGAGTAAAGGCAGGGCCAAGTGTGTGGCCAGTTCTTGACCTACCTTCATTTCCCATGACCACAGGCACCCAATTCACCCTCCTACATACCCCAGCTTAATGCCTACTGCCATTCGCTCATGGAGCAACACCCCACATTCAATCCCTCCAGACACGACTGCAGCAGTATCTCCACCTGGTGCCAGGCTCTGATCAGGGCTGACTTTCACCCTCTGGATTTCATGGATCCCTTCCTTGTCCCTAGCTACCCAGAGAGCCGAAACTCGGCCTCCACGGTGTTCAGAGTCCGTGAGCTATTTGCAGTGGGTGGCTGCTTGCTGGGTGGATGACCCAACTCTTATGCATAAGTATGAGATAACATTGATAGGTAATCAGTGTGGTTGTTTGCAGTCTTTCTCCAGCTCCACGAACCACTATTTCCAGTTGCAACACTCCCACCAGCCCACCGTTAGCTTTGTGAGCATCTCCCCTCCATCTACATCTGGCTAAGGTGCATTGGAAGAAACACTGGCTTGAAGGACTGAGGTTGCAACACTTGTAAAACACAACAGCCAGTGAGTTGGTTGTCACACCTCAAACCACATCAGACCCACCTATAATCATGCAATCAACCAGTTCATCCAGTCCTCTTAACTACAAGCCACAAGGCAGTGCATTAAACCTGGAAGTCAACCAAATGGCTCCCTCCTAGTTATGTAGCTGTGTCTTGTGCGATGTACTCTAAAACATGCTGACCCAGCCAGTTCAAAAACATACCATTGTGCCACAAACCACAAAGTCTGTCCAAACTGCTGCCGCTGTGGGAATGCGCTAAGCAGTGAGACACCAGACATCTCACAAAGTTGATGTCACTGCTTAGGGCAGGGACAGGAATAATGCCAGCCATGGCTTTGCAACCCTGTGTCAATCCTGGTTTAGATCCATCACGGTAGGGGATCTGGCTCCAGCCCCACCATGGGCAGGGTTGGGTAGAGACAGAATAGGAACATTTTGGCCCATCTTTGTGCTTCACATCAATGAACATCACACTCCGCTCATGCTCCCGATACCCACTGTTCAATGCTGCCTTGCATTTGGACTGCTATTGCTTTACAGCTCCAATTTCCAGCATAATTAAAAACGGGGGGAGGGGAAAAAGCTTCCTTCTAAACAACTCTACGGGCCGACAGGACAGGCACTCCTTAAGCAATGCAGTCTGTTGTGAGAGTTCATATTTACAGGCCTTTTAGAAGGTAGATTGCTTAAATGCATATTTAAGGTTATTTTAAAAACCAAATTATTGGCCCAACAGACCGTAAAAGCTCCTGCAGGCCAGAGTATGTATTTCTATTTGGGGACTGTTTAATGCTCATATTTATCAGCTGAATTGGTAGGTTCAGGGCTATCTGGTGAATATTGGCCATAAAAAGAAAACAGCCCCAACTACTATATGCATGAGAGAGGGAGAGAGATCAGGGACTGCATGAGGGAACCTCATAGAGATAAATAAAGGTGCAAGTTGTGGTAATGAAGTACGCCCAGTTCCTTTTCAACTCGGGGATCCCTGCAAAAAGTCACCCTTGCTCTCCACACAGCTGGTGGCAAGACCCCCATTCCTCGCTCTTCACTCCCCTCATCTCACTGTTGCAACAATCATTGCCAGGTGCCTCTTATCTCTCCCTACTACAGGTGTGTCTCTTGAGGCTGATTCTTCCAACAGGCCTTTCTGAAACAAAACCTTTAAATTGGGCAGAGCCAGGGCCAGCCATTTTGTCATGATAGCAGCTTGGTGCTCTCCTGTCTTCCAGCTGGTAAGTGCTCTTGGCTTGCTGTTTTCCTAAGAAGAGGGCTAGGTTTTGCAAATGCATGATCATTGCCAAAGCAATCTCCTTTAGGGAGACTGAAAATAAAGAGATCCTTATTCAGACCTTGCAAGATGTTAAGATGCTGTGTAGGTAAGGGAGGCTGAGGAGCCAGGATGGAGTGGTTCTGCTTCGTTTTCAAGTGAAGGGTTTTGTGAAGGGTTTGCTAATCCTGCAGGGTCAGAGGTGGGAATTCGGGGCTTGCTTTGCATTTTGCTTAGTCCAGCCTGGCTAGCTCTTGTGATAGGTGTTTTATTTGTGTCGGTGGTTGTTATAAAGCATCAGATCCCAGCTGTGTATCTGGGACTCTCAGCCTTGAGGACTCAACTCTCAGCAAGCCATTAAAGAGAATCCTGCTTTCAAAACCTCTTGTGGCAGGGGAGTGTGCCTGTGTTTTTTTGATGTGGCACAGCCGCTGGTTTGTGCTCATGGCTAGCAGTGGTGGGCATTTACAATACTGGTATTGTCTTATGGGCAAAATATCTGCACAAAAATGTGCAGTCAAGGAAGCCATGCATTGATCTGTGATGCTCCATCAGCCTACAAAAGGGTGCGAGCAGGAGGGGAGATCTTTTCATGCTTGGATCATATAGTGCAGAGGCCCTACCATATGTTTTCTGGATCCTGCAGATGACTTATCTGTGACACTCATACAGGGAACTGTAATATTGCAGAGGACCAGGTGATGGCTGTATTACTAGTTGAGAGCTATTGGACCAAGCTCTTAAGTGAAGTTTCCATGCAATTAGGTTTTGAGACGGTATTAAACTGAAACCTAGATTCTTGTTGTTCTGCTGTCCGGAAACATGTGAACCCAGATCTAGATCTTTCGGTTTATATGACATGGCTGCCCATAAATACAACAAATACCTTCACTGAGAAAGTGTAACCTTTCTCCTCCCCCCAAATCCAAAAGCCCTTGGCCACAGCCAGCAAAAGTCTGTGTACCCCCACAGCTGGTACTTCTGCTGAAGCCCCAGGAATTGGCAAATCTAGATTTATTTCTTACCAGCACAGACTGCTTGGAGGATTTCCATGTCTGGGGTGTCACCTTGGCAGACTGGTGCCTCACTATTGAAGGGTAAGCTGCAGCAATACAAAATAGCCAGTTAGGAGTGATGCCATTACAGGTTGATCTGTCTTTTGCAAGCAGGGATTGGAAGCTGCATTCATATAACTCCCACACTGCCTTATGCCAAAATGCAGCCAGTTTTTGGGGGTGGGATGCACTGGAATGGTACCATCGCCACTACTCATAACTAGGATTGCAGTGGGCTCTGTCCTTATTGCAGAGTCCCACCTTTGGTTTGAAGTCTTGGAGATGAGAGAGGGCTCCCTGCAACCCCGCAGGCACTAACGGCACAGTTCAGCTCCAGCACCACCATGTGCTGGGCTGTCTCTGAACTCTTTCATCCATGAATCAACCAGACCTGCTTCTGCTTGGCATGCACTGAGGCCATTGCAACACCCTGTTGCTTACTTGAAGTGTCCTTGAACCAGCAGTAGCCAGTGAAAGGAGGACGAGGAGATGGTGAGGAGCACATTGTTGCTCCGGCAGTGTCTGGGAGCACTGGGATTTTGCCCTGAAAGTGCAGGGGTCATGAACGGTGCTTGCCAGACTCCTTCCCTCCCAACTGCCTGAACACTTAGATGCTTCCTTCCTATTGAAAAACCTAGAAAGGGACTGGTGGAGCTGTCTCAGCTCATCAGATTAGGTCCTTGCCATGGCCTGCCTGAGTGCACTTCCCTTCCCAAAGGGTGAACAGTGCAGCAGGGAAGCAGAGCCATGTGTGCTACTGCTCTGTGCTCCGAACCCTTAGGCAGCAGTGGAGAGCCCTCCCCAGGGTCCGGCACTGCAGCCTCATCCCATAAGAAAGGGGTGGGAGAAGCAGGGGGTGGGAAAGGGAACACGGCTCCCAACCCAGAAGCCCAGTACCAGTCTTGGTGTAGAGGCTCCCATCAGACTGCTTGCTGAAGTCCCCAGGTGAGCTCTGTCCCATCGAGGAGAACTGAAATGGCAGCTTGGTGCCATTGCCTACTGGAAGAGAAAAGAGTCTGGGTTACTTCAGGGCCTCACACAGTTGGGGGGAGAGAGGGGCTTCAAGTGGGTCAAAGTGAATGTATAACCATCATCTTGCATTGGACTGGGACCTGCTAGGGGAGGAGGCAGGGACCCGGCATTGCAGAGGCAGAACTAATGTGTCAACAGCTTCTTATCTCATTGTGTCATATCCCTGTAGTCAGAAGCAAGAGCGGGGCAGCAGCTGAGGTTTGCAGAGCTGCCAAGGGGATCTGAAATCCAGACTTGCTTGGATGGGGTGGGAGGAAGCTGTGGAAACCTTTGCAGAACTCCCCGTGCAGGTTTGCAGGTGGTGGGATGAGGACACCTTCTCATGCCAGGTGCTACTGGGAGATGTTAAGTGTTGGCAGTAAGCATCAGACTTCAGTCTTGGAGCCTTTGGATGGAGACAGGCCTCAGCACTCTGGCTGGGGAAGGAGGAGCCTCCCAAAGCATTGGGGTGCATATATGTTGGGATGGGGATGGATTCGGGGCATCACAAACTAGACTGACTAGGCAAACCAGAGGTCTCAGCCTTTGGGACCTTATCTGAGGCATAGTGACCTTCTTGGTGGGCCCTGGACCAGGCAGGCTCTTGCTGCTGAAGCAAAGTCAGTGGCTGGATTTGACACAGGAGGTGAACAGGGATGGCTTTGATGCATGACCTGGACTAAGCATCCCCATGAGCTGAACTGGCCCTGCCTCCCACAGGTGCTGCTAGTCTGCTTCCTTAATAAGAAGGAAGATGGACGTGAGGGTACCGTGCGTCAGAGAGGTCTACAACACATGATGGGCAAATGCCGTGGGGCAATAGCAGCGCAACAAAAGGCAGAAGCCTGCAAGGCGGAGTTCATTTATTATTACTCATCGTCTTTCTTACCATATTTCTATTCTCAGTGGTGACAGATGACCGAACAAGGAGCAATGCGCTCAAGTTGCAGCAAGGGAGGTTTAGGTTGACTTGCTCGCTAGGAGGGTGGTGAAGCACTGGAATGGGTTAGTGGGATCTCCATCACTGGAGGTTTTTAGGGCCTGACTTGGTGAAGTCCTACCTAGAATGATGCAGTTGGGGCTGGTCCTGCTCTGAGCAGGGGGTTGGACTAGATGTGACCTCCTGAGGTCCCTTTTCACCCTCATTCTCTGTGATTCTGTGTTGTCCTGGGACTGAACTGAAATCTGGCCTTGCTCTGCCAAGTGCTGCACAACCGTTAGAGAGTCTTTGACCCAAGGGCCTTGCAGGCTCAAAACACCATGCACATGGGAGCAGAGGGACAGCCTTGTGGGGAAAGCACCCACCTGAGCCTCAGAAATCCTGATCCTGCCCCAGGCTCTTTTCTCCACAACACATCCCACAGGCACAGAGTTGGTAAGATGTTGAGGTGCTGGGTTTAATGAGTTTGATGGCTTTGATTTTCCTAAAAACTTCATCTTCAGTTTCTCTGCACCTGAGTTTCCCCTGTGCATGATGGAGAGACCAGTCCCCCATGTCCCTGTCCCTGTGTCTGGATTACAAGTGCAGCGATGCTCTGTGTGTTTGTGCAGCACCTAGACCGGGGCCCCAATCTTGATCGTAGTGGAAATTATGGTGATTTTAAACCAGGGACACTCAATCCTGACAAGCTTGCATCTCAGGGTGGACTGGGGAGAGAAGGGAGGGGAACTATGGCAAATCTATCTGATTAATTGAGACTGGGCCCATGCATTGCATTGTTTGTGACCATAGGAAAGATGCACCCCAACCTTGCAGTGAAAGAGATACTCGGTTAATATTTTCTGCAAGGAGCTGTAGGTGCGGAGTCAAAAACACATGGTCTGAGCCTGATGGGCAAGCTGGATAGGGTGGTTCATAGCTCGAGAGAAGCACATGTCAGGTGGCAGAGCTGCATACAAGGGGAGGGGTGGGCAGGGCATGCAGTGGGCTAGCTGGGAAGCCAGAGCAAAGCACGGGAGGTGCAGGTACCTTTCAAGGAGAAGGCAGGGTTGCCAGCACCAAGAGCCTCCTCTGTAGCTTGGAGGCTGGAATACTCCCAGGATCGCGTGTTGAAATTGCCTGCGAGACGAGAGGAGCCAGTTTAGCCGCCAGCCCCTGGTGATCTCCAGCTAGGCCCGTGCCTCGTGTTGCTCCACAAACTGGTTTAGAAGCAGACCCAGTCCCATATGCGTTGGGATGAAGCCACCCAGAGAGCTGGGGCCACTCCAGCCCTCCTTTCCCCCAGGCAGCAGGGCAGAGAGGGCTGCTCTCTCCCTCATGAGCCGTGTGAACAAAGCTCCTACTCACACTCCACTTCCCATCCCCATCACCTGGAGGGGAGGTGTGAAAAAGAGGGGAACCTGATTTGCCCCCCTAGGGGTCACTAGGACAGGCTGCCCAGGGCAGGGCTCTGCTCCTGCACTGCTTTTCTACCAGAGGGAGAGGGAACTGCGGGTCCGAAATACATTGCTGCCACCCAGTGGGCTGCTCCTTTATTTAGGAGCGTGGGCTCCTTTCTGTGGCCAGCCCCCTCCCACCCTGCTATCTTGCAAAGCTCGCTGAGCTGGGGACAATAACCTCCCCATTGATGCTCATCTGTGAGACCAGGCTGGCCCAGCCCCTGGCTGGCTGGAGCGTTGCGATGTGATGAGAGCAAACGGCTGATTTGCAAATGCATCCAACTCCATTAACCTTTGCCAAGTTCACTGTGGCATCCATTAGGAGCACTCTGCACTAGCCAATGCAGCGCTGACCGTGTGTGCAGGGGCAGCGGGGGATACGCCTGGGAACCAGGAATCCCTCAGTCCTGCCCCAGTCTGACACTGATTTGCCGAGCATCCTTGGGTGGGTCATTTTGCTTTCTGTGCCTTTGTTTCCCCACTTGTGGCATATGGAGAATTACACCCGTCTCCTGGGGCTGGTTGTGAGGGTTCATTCATTAGCTGCTCTCGAGCCCTGGAGGGCTGGGCTTAGCAAAGCTGTGGGGCTCTGCTGATTGCCTGGTTGCAAACTGGTAAAGACTTAAGGCAACTGCAAGGATCCAAGAGCCTTGTGTGCTCGAATGCAGGAAGCAATGGCCTGACACGGATGCCGTGGGGTGTCATGGCTGGGTTTCATAGCAAAGCTTGAAGTCTCTTAATCTGCAGTGCAGCCTTGGGATCCCGTGCCCTCGATACTCCACTAGAAGGGCGGTGACAGCCTGCAAGTACAGGCAGGGCCTCAAAACTGCCAGAGCCAGTTCAGCCTCCGTTTGCCCCTCCTCCCACGTGGATGGCCAGCATAACTAACACAGGTGTGTGCAGCCAGGGTTGCCCAATGCACGGAGTAAATTCCTTGCTGCAGCTCAAGGAAGAGAGCTTCTCCGGGACCCAGCCCAACAGGCACGAGAGCATTTGAAAGAGAAAAGGGCTCGGCCCACGCAGGTGATACTACCAGTGGGGCAGGCTAGTCCCTCGTCCCACAAAGCTGGGAGTCCACGGCAGGGGTGCGGTCAGAGGCAAGGGTGCTGCTCCTCTCTTAACTCACTGCTGCAGTAGGAGAGCTGAGTGGTACTGGTTGGATCACCGTGGCCCTGGGACCATCCCATTGCCAGCCAGTGCGTGTAATAAGGTAGCTAAGTGTGTCCTGTCTCCCTCTAATGGCAGATCCCCAGTGGATAAGGATCTACTGCTGCTGCTAGCTCATGAAGTAGCTCCAAACTTTCCATTGCCTGCTATGGTCTTAGCAGCCTGGTAACTCCCTGTCGGCTTTTGCACTGCGAGGAGCGGTGGCTAAGAAACCAGCCCCATCCGGGGTTAGTGAGTCCTGTACGACCCAGTCGTGATCCCTGCAATGGGTGCTAGATGGAGCTTCACTGTGTGGACAGTTTTTTGATCGGGACGTATTCGTTTCTGGCCTAGTTGCTTTTTGATGCTCATTCTGTGAAGTAGGCGATTGGGTGCCTAAATCACACGGCCACAGGTCCCGTGCTTAATCAGGGCTCTAACATGAGGACACAAAAGGGGTTCATAGCAAATACCGAGTGAGGAGCTGGGCTGTGGAATGAACCCCTTGCTCCCATGTAAATATGGGAGCTGGCAGGAGGGGCAGATATTTATATATTACATAGATATCTATATATACATATAGATATTTATATATTACCACAGATATTTATAAATACAAAAGCCCGTGCAAATGGCAAACGCCAAGAGGTGAGAGCAATGACACAGCTGGCCTCAGACATGGGTCTTTAGTGCTCAGCTAGGTCTGTGCCCTGCCCTGTGTAGGGTTGGGTACAACAGGTGTCTCCTTTGACTTCACTGGGATGGCTCTCAAGAGCAAAGGCTACACCTGGGAGTGAGTGTTTGCTAGCCTGCAGCCTCTATGCCCCATGATCAATCCGCCTACCCCTGCAGGGGCTGGGCAATGCTGTGACTTGTAGTATTCAGTTACAAGCCTCCTCTCCTCTGTGTCCTAGGAGCAGTTTCTTCTGCCCCTGCAGCTGGTCCCGAGGCCCCTTCTGGAAGCTGAGCTCTTTGCTCCCTGCCAGGAGCAATGGTAGCAATACCAGGTCACTCCCCAGCTGTGGCACAGGCTTCTCTGTGCTTTGCCACCTCTGCTACTGCAGACGTGCTGGCAAAGCCCCACTAGTGGAGATGCAGCAGCACATGCATAAGGGAGCTTTTCTGTTCAGGGTCTGACACTGTCATCCCAACTAAGCTGGCACCAGCCCTCTTTTAGCTGCATCCTCACCAGGGCAGCTGCTGCCACAGCTGTGGGCATGGGGAGGGTTGCACTTGGACCTGATGAGACTCAAGCTTTGTTATGCAGACTTAGCCTAAGGTGAAAAGGCTGAAAATGCCTTTGCTTTTGCCAGGACTGTGACCACAGGGGAGGACATGGATGGTGATCGTGGAGGATCACTGGATTCCACGTCCATGAGCCAACAGCTCAGCAGCCCTGGGAGGAGTGCAGGGCTTTTGCCTCACTTCTTGCCCCCGTATGATGCACTTGGGTCTCATGCTTCAGTGCCAGTGGTCAGGAAAGACCCATCCTTGCTCTTCTCCAGGTGCTGCCTGGAACAAGTATTCAGGTACCCAGTGGGGAATTTCCAGCTCCCACTAAAGCATCATTTATTGGCTAAAGGTGGGCTCAGGCTGCACAACTCAGACGGAGTTTTAAAAGCTGAGAAGAGCTTGGTCCCCGGTCTGTCTCCTGTCCTAGTCACTGTGCTCACCAGAGTGTGAAGGTCTGGGTAATGATGGCAGTGAAGACAGTGGTGCATGCTTTATCTTGGCATATGCCAGCAACCACAGTACAAGATCTCCAGTGGCCCCATGTGCCCATGCTGGTAGCTGGCCTGGATTGTCACAGGTGCCAGTTGCAGCTTGATGCCATGCTCATCTTGCTGCGTAAGCTTCCCAAGGGGTGGATGCAGTGCAACAGGCTAGAATGAATATGGCTGATTTGCAGGCTGCTCTGGGAGAGGGAGTTGGATTCTTCATATGAGCCCTTCCCTGTTGGAAATACAGTCCAGCCACATGCTTCCCTTCTACCTACATTGAGATCAGCTGGTGCATCCCTGGGTGGAGCCCGGGCTTAGAAGAGAGAAGGGAAATGGGCTTTAAAGGAATAGTGGGAATTGAGACAAATTTGGGAATCCAGCTCATCTTCCACCCTTGCATCAAGCCCCAAGGCAGTCTTACACACTGGGCCTGGCCACTTGCATGGGCCATCAGGGAAGTGCCATTGCTCATTGCAGATGGCAGCTGCAGGCCCACGCCTGCCCTCTGCCTGCTTTTGCCCAGCAGCTGTAAACATCTGGCAAACCCAGGGGTAGCTCTGCAGGCTCCCGAGCAGAGCCCGATAGGCAGCTGTGCCAACCGGGTCAGCTCCATGGGGACATCTCAGTGATGGGTTACCCTTGTCATTCAACTCCTAGAACTGCCCCAACCCTCCCAGCTATCACCATGTTGATGAACGGTGAAATACAAAGGCCCAGTCTCACTCCCTCTCCTACCTCAAAGAGTTCAACATTCAATCTGCTAAGGTCCTTTGACCCGTATTGACCCACTGGAGGCCCCACCATGAGTGGCAGACCTGAGCAAAGAACCCAGGCATGCTAATCTCCCAGTCCAACATGTTAAGTACTTCACTGTTCCCTTTTATGTCTCAAGACAAGGCAATTTGTAGCTTCAACACAAGTTAGCAGGTGGAGGCATATCGTTGCTCCATAATCAATTTAACCCTGACTTTCTGTGTGAGTGCAGAAGCTACAAATGCCTTGGTTCAGTAGAGCTTTCCTTCTTGCTGGTCACCAACCATGATCTCACGCAAGGTAAGAACCCACCGTTTCCTGTTAAAGAACATGATGCCCACCAGTCCCTTGTGTTCACCTCGTTGCAACAGCAGTGAGGCTTGTGAGCAGTGGCATCTGGCAGCCCTGATACATGGCATGAGTGCTCTCCTGGGACAGGAGTGCCATGGAAAATGTGTGAGTGAAAGCAAATCCCCAGCAATGGCACTGTTTAGAGGACAGACAGACAGCGTAGGGGAGTCACGGTACCTTTGGGAGACAGGTACATGGAGAATCTCTTCAGGCTGTCAGGCTGGTTCCACTCGTAGTTGTTGAACATGTAGCGGTGATCACCTGGAGAGGCAGAGCAAAGCCTGGTGAGCAAGGGGTCACAGAAGTGGGGAGAGGGGGACAGCACAGCTCAGGATGCTTCCCCGCACCTGGAGGGAGAGGCGATTCCCTTAGGAGAGATGCCCTTTTGAGCGTGGAAATTGCAAAAGTAAAGGGCCCTTTGGAATTGGGGTTTCTCATCAATAAAAGCAATGCACTTGCTTGTGATCTCTGAGCCTCTGACTGTGCAGCAGCCTCCCTCTTCATCTGCCCTGCTGTGTTGCTCCCAGTCCAGCTGTGCTCGCTGGACAGCTGCAAAATGCAGCTTGCGGGAGGATAAGCGAACCAGTGATGAGGCAGCAGCAGGCCCTCGGGAAAGAGGTACAGGGAGGAAAGGCAGTGACTTGGCCCCTTGCAGGCAACGCCAGAGATATTCAAGGGTGTGAGACAAGGTCCCGGAGAACCGGCCTGGCACCATGATAGAGGCCTGATGTTGGAAGGAGGCATAGCAAATGACTCCTTGCAAATTGGCATCGTTGCGTATGCCTCCATCTCTGCACCTACCACACCTCCCCGGGGTTGCTTGCATCGGGCTGACCTACTAACTGTGATTAGCATGGTGGTGCCTAGGGACAAAACTTAAGACCCGTAGCCCTGTTGTGAAATGTGGTGGGAGACTCTGTCTGCCCCCAAGAACTTGCCATCTGCATAGTCCCAGGGTGGGGAAGAAGGGTACAACCCAAAGGCAGGTGATGAAGAGGGTGGCAGCAAATGGCATGCTGGTTCATGGTCTGTTTTCCAGGGGAGGGAGAGTTTGGGAGATGAGGATCCATGGGAGGAGAAGGGAAGATGTGTGAGGGAGGTTGGGGCTGGGTGTGGGGATGAAGCTGAGCCCAAGGAGAGGGTGAGAACCATAGGGAATGGATTTGGGCTCAAACCCTTTCATTACTGGACCAGTTTCTCAAACTGAGCCTATGCTGGTGGCAGGGATCAATGAAGGAGGTGGAGATGAAGGAGCTGCATCATTTAGGCCCTGTTGCACTGATAGGTGTTTACACACCAAGGACATGGTCTAGAGGGCACTGGGAGGATGCTCCCACAAAGTCCTATAGGCCTGGACCCAAGGTTCAAAATCTCCAAAAGCCAATTCTCTGTGATCGCCTTGTCTTATTGGGCTCAGTAGAGGAGTAGGGATCTATTCACCTGTGACCTACTGATGTTCAGATTAGATGTGATAATATGGTCGCTTCTGGACTTAAACTCCACGCAACTCTCTGAATCTATTCATGATTTGTCCATCTTTAGGGCAAAAAGCTGCCTAAAAGAGATCCCCATAAAAGGGCAAAGCTCCTTGTACCACTGGGGCTCTTGGGAAAGACATGCCAAGAGCAACAGCAGCTGAACTCAACCCTGGTTTCCAAAGGCAGAAAGCCTGGGATCGTACAGGGTGGGTGAGAAGATGCTGGAGGCATGGGGTGAGGCGCTGACTGACTGCTCAGCCTGCGGCTCTCTTCTGCGGGAAAATGAAGGCCTTTGTTCTCTGGAGCTGCCAAGCTGGCACCGTTCTCCAGCAAAGGAGGCAAAAGTTGGTTGTCTGGCTCTTGCGGCAGATGAGGAACGTCCCTCTGCATTGAGTTTAATGAGTCCCTGTGCAGAAATCTCACTGATGGGGAAGCAGCAACACTTTATGGAAGCTGACGTTTTACAGCCCAGCCTATATTTATGACCACCTGCTGTCTCCAGTCACCTGTATCGACAGCTGGCAAACTTTCAGTCCCAGTGAGATTTCCTATCGCCTCCACTATAGCTTGGTCTGTTGTAGGCAGCCACTTATCTCCTTGTTCCCTGGGGCAGCTGTGTAAACTGCATTGCAGCCATGTACCAAGGGGCCAAGAGCAAGCCCCTGGCATGAAATATTCACATCCAACCTTTGGGTTTGAGTCTTTCCTACAAGTACATCGAAAAATGCTTAACGATTTAGAATATGGTTTTTCTGTTTGCAGTGTTGAGCTACTGGCATTCAGAGCCAGATTTGGAATTGCAACTACTCTATAGCAAGAGACTTTTTTTAAATCCAACAGGGGATAAATTTGTCCCATTAGAAAAACAAATGCAATGCCTAGATGTGGGTTGCAAATAGCTCCGAGCTCCTGAGGTCCTTTAGCTCAGGAGTTACAGCTTGGGCTTAGCTCTAAAGCAGTAAAAAGGACCCTTTTGCAGAGGCAGTATAGACCTATATGCTGTTTATATCCCATTTTTGCTTTCTTTTAAGGCCTTAAGTGGTGCATAAACTTCCTATGAGCTCTTCAGAGAGTTGAATTCCACCCTTGTGTTCAGCTAGTTACATTCATTTGACTCTTCAGTTGGCAAATAAACTTTTGGTTTATTTGCTTCCATTCATTTCCGTGTTTCTAAACCTTGCAAACGACAATCTGAATGCTTGCCTGTCTGCCAGCCTATTAAGCAGGCACCTGTTATAACAACTAAAAGAGAATGGAGTCTCTTTGGAGTCTGCTATTAAACAGGTTTCGTTCCCCCTAATGTAATATTTCTCCATGGGAATTTTTTTTTAAATTTTACCCTCAAAGATCAAACAGATTGCAAGCCAGTTTCTCATGATGACTCAGAAGGAGCCCTAGTTAATTAAGTAATTTTGGCATTGTTTGCATTTAGCAACTGCAAGGAAACAACTGTGTCCTCTTTTGACCATAACCGTGGCTCGTAGAAACTGAGGGATGTGAATTCATTTAGGGTCATGTTAAATAACTGTTCCCAACAGCCCCGGACACTGTTAGGCTTCTTGTCTATCCAGTATCTGATCAGTGATTGATGCCCATTATGCTGTTGGTAACTGGGCCTGCTCTGCACCTGGGTGACGGTGGTACGTAGGGCAACTGCCCCAGCTGAGCTGCCAGCAGTGGTGCAGTAGCTGCTATTTTTGCACACACTTCCCTTAGTTACAGTACTGGTCAAACCTTTTAAACCTGTTTATAAAGGCACTTTGGGGTTGTTACAGATAAGCAATCCCTGCAAGACCCAATACGCAGCTCATCAAAGACACTTGGGTGATTAACTCCTAGTGACTCCATGTGAATTCAGCACCCAAGTGCCTTTGAGGGTCTGTTGTCTAAGTGACTTAGCTAAATCACGCTTTCAAAAATGACTTGTGCAAATGGGAGCCTACATCCTGTTGGCTTAGGTGTCACCTCTTTCGCTAGGTTTTGCAAATAGGCAAAGCTGGTTGGGAAATCTTGAAAATTTCTTTCAAAAAGTTGTTTGCAAAACAAAACAAAACAAAACAAAAGAAATCATAAAAGCTATTTGACATTTGGACCTGAGCCATCGTCTGGTGCCCTGGTGTGTTCTGCCTGGGATATATAAAAGATATCAGCTCAGGCTTGGAAGTCTGGCTATGAGTATTGTGATGCAGGGTGCTGAACACTCAAAATTTTGGTCCTTATTCAGGTTGTGGATGCGAGTTCCCAGCCCTTTTGAAAAACCAGACCTTAGTGCAGGTCCCAATCACTTCCAAATCTGACCCTGAGCTCTTTTGAACGCCTGATCCCATGTAACTGAACTGTATTATCCACTTTATTTGTGCCTAATGCAAAATTATGGTGCTATACAAATGTTAATTAATCGTTTTGAATGTAGGCTCCTTGGGAACAGGGACTGTCTTTCTCTAATGCACAAAGCCAGCAGGCTGATGTTCAATAAATACTAATGCCTTTCATTATAGCTCCAATTTTACCTTGGTCCCACACAACCTTCATTCTTATTATTCTAAATCATGGATGTCAGAAAGGCTGATTCATGAACTAGAAGCTGCAGGAAATGTTATTTGATGATCCGGGAACAGATCCCGTGTTGTTTTAAGCTTTGTCATTCAATTCCACGCGTTTGTTTTGTTTCTTTAATCTCCGGCACATCTGATAATTTGTGTCTTGCTATAAAGAAGCCCGGAGAGGTTTGTGAGACCTTTGGCAGAGCAAAAGACTATTCAGAAATGCAGGTGGCCTGTTGGCTGTTTGATACCGATCTTAATGAAATAACGATCTTGCGTTTATATGGAAGCTTTTGTTGGGAGTCGTTTCAAAGAGCTGCATGAGCCGTTGTACAAGCTGTGGGTAGGAGTCCAGCGCCACGCTATTGGTATTGCACCCTATTCCGTGTGAATGAGGAGTAATTTGCCTTTGTGAGATCCAGATCAGTACTCCATCTTCACCATCCTAGTCTCTGAGCCTTTCAGTCAGTAATGGATTCTAGCCTCCCAAGACCTTGTGAGGTAGAAACATGCTTTTATCTGTGTACTATCGATGATAACCATGGAGACTGTAAGTCAGCTGAGGTCACGCTCAATGTCTGTGTCAGAGGTGGGAATTGAGCACAGGGTTCCCAGCTTAACGGTCTGCCCATCGTTTCTACCCTGCATAAAGCACATGCTGCATTCAAGCTCACTTTGGGGTGCATTAAGACTCGAGGGCAGTGGAGCTGCCTGCAATAGTAGGGGAAAGGACTTGGTGACCTAAGAAGTCCTTTGCTACTTGCTTTATGCTGGCTCTGCGCACAGCTGGTTTTTCATCCTGGGAGATCATGGTGCTATTGAAATGCACCTGCTGTTTGCTATTCTACAGCAGCCTCACTGCTGTTTAGGGGAGGAAGACCCCTAATATCACCCCTATGTATCTTGTGAGTAATTTGATCAGACAGCACATGGCTTGTTGAAAAAAGAATTGGGACTTGAGCAACACCAAGGTTAGCACTGCTCCCCTTAAAAGTTTTGAGTCCAGCCAAAAGGACATCAGTGCTTCCTTGCATGGTATATGGCTACGGCTCCCATGCTGCTTCTACTCACCCATAGATCCCATCTAGCAATTCCCCTCAAAGGCTTCCACCTGAGAGCTGGCATGGTCTGATCCTGCTTACCTGGTGAAGCATGGGAGCAAAAGACAAAGTAGGGTGGCTTCTCTCTCGTCCTGGTTTCGCTCTCAGAAGTTATGCAACTGTGCTACAAGGGGCACTGGACATTTCAGAGCCTGGGGTGTCTATAGGGAAGGGTTGAATCAGAACTGCAGAGGGGAAGGGGACTGAACTAATTAGGCACTGAACTTTTAACACTAACTACCACCCCAGGGAGCTCAAAGCAGTCCAGCTCCCTGAGCCTCCCTGCAATAAACATGCATTAAATTCTTCCAGAGCCGGCTAACGAGCCCCAGCCCCCATTTCCCATCACTGACCATACAAGGTTAGTTTACCCCAGAGCTATTTACAAAGGCAGATCATGCTCCTCCCTCCCAGTGGTCTTCCTACGTGGTAGGAATGGCTGCTGGAGCTCCTTCTTCTACGACACAGATCTAGGACCCACTCTGAATGCAATCAGAGTCAATGAGCTCCTGGATCCCTACCGTTCTCCATGTGGTTCCTCTCAATGAAGTTTCGGCCAAGGTCTGCCTTGCAGATCTTCTCCACGTGCCTCATGCAGACATTCAGCAGGTCGTCCCGGAGAAGGCCCATGGACGGACTCATGCCGTCTCCTTCCAGCAGGACGCTGTAGGTGGGAAGAGATGTCGGGGGGACGTAGTTCCTCATCAAAGTCCCAAATTCCTGCCAACAAGACAAGGTGGAGGTTATTGGGGAAGGCACACAACAGAAGGGCCAGGATGCAGAGGGGGCTAAGAGGAGACTGGGGTTAGTGACCATGGATTATAGGGACCATCAAGGCCCTGAAGAGGTTGGGAGGTTAGATTTGGTGCCAGTCAGCTAAGTTAATACTCGGGCAATAAGCAACATCATGTGAAATCCTTCAGAGCAAGTGGTTGCTGAGGGTTCAGCTCCCAGCTCCTGCTCATATCAGGGGCACGAGGCAATGTCTGTTCTTGGGAGACCCTAAAATGTTGAGTTCCTCCTGGTGTAATCTTCAGGGACTTCAACAGAGACCCGGCGATTAGTTGTTCTGTCCCTTCCCCCATGGCAGTGTTTACCTGCAGGAAGAGCACCGAGTCGCTGATCTGATGTATCTGGTCCCTGGTGTCCTTGTCCTCCTGCAGCAACTTGGATCTCTCTTCCAGCTCCTGCACAATTTCTTTGATGTTCTCACTCGCTAGCTTTTCCCTCTGTTCCAAGGCAGCTTTCACCTCGTCCCGCTGCATCTGCAGGTCACGCACCAGCTCTTTGAAATGCTGGTCCACCGTGGCTTTCTCATTGGTGGTGAAGTTCTAATGGGAGGGAGGCACAATTAATTAAGCACTTGAATCCCCTTTGCAAGCATGTCCTAGGCGCATAAAAATCGAAGCTCCCTCTCCTTTCAAAGAGACTTGAGCCCTTAAGTGATATTTGAAAACCGAATAGAGATGCATGCACCCAGGTTGCATCAAAGCCTTTACAAATGTGACCTTTGGGCCCTTTTGAAATGGAGAGAATGGCCCTGGATAATATGGCCCTCCTTGTGCAGGCTAAGCTTCCTGGGTTAGTTTTCCCTGAATAATAATGAAAGCAGGAAAAAACACCTCAAAATATTCTTAACCTGTACTAAAGAAGGCTTTATGCAATCATTGGACCTGGTGTACTAGATTGGTACCAGTACATTTCAGTGAGCGCAGCTGTGTTTTAAATGATGTAGTTAAGCTTTTGCATCCTGTCACGTGGTTGTGCCATTGTAAAAGGTGCCTTATGCCTCAACAGAAATAAGCCAGGCCAGGCACCGTTATAATGGTATGACTGCACCCGGTCTGGGGTGAAGGCTTCATCCGGTGAGGAACGTCCTGGGTAACATTTTCAAAATGTGAAGAGTAGAGATGAAGCGGAGGTTTGCTTTGGGTGGATGAGGCGAGAACATGGTAACCGAGGCAGGGAAGTAGGTAAGGCCCCTGACACCCAGCTCATGCTTCATGCCCTTGGTCTCCTGCCGGGTTTGTCACAAGAGACCTGGAGTGGGAATGGTTCTCCCATCTGTAAAATGAACATGGTCGCTCAGGTGATGGGAGGAGGAGAGTGGAGCTAGAAGAGAAATATGAACTAGGCAAAGGCAGAGAGCAAAGTGAGAATGCCAGAGACACAGATGGGGAAGAGGGGGATGAAAGAGGAGAGATACCTGGGGAGTCAGAAGGGGAAGGACAAGGAGACTGCACCATCCTCACCTTGATGCGGTCCTTCTCCTTCTGCCACTTATCCACCTCGTCTTCGATCTCGATGATCTTCAGCTGCAGCTGCTCCTTCTGCAGTGAGAGCTCAGCCTGTGGGAGGGGAGAGAAGGAGACCCATGAGAGCCAGCGCTGGTGGCCCACTTCAAAGAGATGCTCTGCTTTGACTTATGTGCTTGGCCCTGAACCATAATGGCTGGGAGCTACAGGTTCCTGGCATCACTTTCATGGACACCACGTGTTGGCAGCTGGACAAGATCCCAGTGCCTCCAGTTGTGTCAGGACACTGAGCTTCCTAAGCACAGCTCCTGCATGACTTAGGGTGGGATTGGGAATGGTACTGCTTTTAATCAAGCTGGAGTGATTA